AAAAAAAAAAAAAAAGAAATAACCAGTACAAGGTATAGCCATACCTATCTGGTTTACATGCTAATAATTCTTACACGTTTTATTGTAGTCATTTTAAAGTGACACGTTTTAGCTAGGTGCAGTGGCTCCTGACTGTAATCCCAGCACTTTGGGAGGCCAAGGCGGGCAGATGACCTGAGGTCAGGAGGTCGAGACCAGCCTGGCCAACATGGCAAAACTCTATCTCTACTAAAAATACAAAAATTAGCCAGGCATGGTGGCGCATCCCTATAATCCCAGCTACTCGGGAGGCTGAGGCAGAAGAATCTCTTGAACCCAGGAGGTGGAGGCTGCAGTGAGTCAGGATCACGCCATTGCACTACAGCCTAGGCAACAAGAGCAAAACTCTGTTTTAAAAATAAATAAATAAATAAAGTGACACATTTTCAGACTATTAAGCTGATATTTGATTTTCCACTGTAACTTGGTACATTTATGTTTATTAGGGGATCTTTACCTTCACCAGTTACACTAATTATACAAATTTACTACATTGCATATCTGAAGAACCACTTTTCGTGGTAAAGGTTTTATAGGTGCTATTACTGATTGTGCAAGTATTAACTTTTCCTACTACTTAACCCATAATGGCATGTGTGATTCTTTGTTCTTTGAATCTTTTTCCAAATGTATAGGTAACTTTTTCCAAGTTACCTACTTTTTTTTTCCTCTTCAAATTTCTAATTGAATACATGATCTCATATCAAGCAGAGTATTTTTGAACTTACTTCACTTACTTTGGATCCTTGGAAAATGGTTAAGTCTTAGCCTTGTTTCCCAAAAACCTTAGTGAATGGTACTCTCTGTATAGTGGACATGAGTAAATGTTAGTGTGATACCTAGTTTGGTGACAGAAATGAGAACAGTTATGCTTTGTCTTTTGTAGATCAAAAGGCTAAAGGGCTGCAGGCTTCTTGTGAGGACTCTCTCCTTGTTTAGAATATGGAGGGAATAATAGATTGCTATTTATGAATGAAACTCTAAAGATGGTAGCAGCTGCAATTGTTGCACTCCCAAGTCTCCATTTGCCTCCTGGTTTTAGAGCCTAAATATCAGGAAGAAGATGTATGCAGAAAAATCTGTATTAAATCAGTTTCTTACTGCTAAACCAGCAGATAATACAGTATTGTGCCTTTCGTGGTTTTTTGTTTTCAAACACCTGCAAATTCAGCTTCTCGTGTTAGTTTTATAGTATCCTAATGTTAACATAATAGTTAATTGGAAAACACTAAAACCATTTTCTTACATTTTAAAAATAATTATAATAGTATTAAAAAAAGTTTATGACAGTAATTTTAAAAAATACCAAGAAAATCATACCAGTATTCCATACAGAAAGATAATCATATGTTAATATTTTGGTACATATTTTTCTACTCTTTTTAAATTTTTTATGTTTGTGATTTTATAACTGATTGGTTCTACTTAATACATTATGAAATTTTTTCTTGATTTTATACATATTCTTTTAAAGCTTTATTTTTGTTTTTTAATTGGCAGTATTCATTTATATCAGTGTGCCATAATTTACTTAATACAGCTGTTTCACTCTTAGGTTGATTCTAGTTTTATACCACTGTAAATAACATTTTTATTTTTAGTGTACCTCTGATTTTCTCAGGATAGATAAGATTACTGGCTCAGATTTTTATTTTAATTTAAGAATAAAACTAAAATGGTAATAGGCAATATTATTTAATTCTGGTTTGGAAGTGTTCAAACCAGCATTCATGAAGAGAGAGGGTTAAATCACATCACTAAAGTTTCTTCCGGCCTAAATCTTCTAAGATTCTATGAGTGAACAGTTATTTAACACCTACTGTGTATTTATTAATATATGGCCTCTCTTAAGTTTTGAACATAGAAGACAAGTTCTTTGTCCTTAAGGGTCTTATAATCTGATGTAGTATTTATGAGATCATCAGAAAAAAATAAAAACATGGTATGTCACAAAGTGTAGGGTACTACAAGTTCTCCACATGCTTTAGGAGCAAATTTAGGAGAAAAAGTAATGGATTAAAGTACTCATTGACAGTTTATGCAGGAAGTAAAACTGAAACTGAACGTGAAGAGTGGATGGGATTTGAAAGTGCATATTGAAGGGTATTCTCTATTAAGAAGGATAGTGAACAAGCAAGATCTCAAAGCAGTGTGCTCTGACAGAAGTCCGAGCCAACTGCAGGGGAGGGCTCAGGAGAGAGTAGTGGGTAGTAAATCACTGGGATCAGATGAGGCCACATTGTGTGCATCTCAGGAGAGGGTGGACTCAAATTCCAACAGGAAGAGAATTGACTAGGCAGTGAAATGTGGAATGGACACAGGAGGTAAAAACAAGTTCAGGCCAGGGAGTTCCCTTAGGCTCAGGAGGAGAATGCTGTTACTGAAGAAAAAAATTAGGCTGTATGGTGACAAAGCTGCTATGGCTTTTTGTCCCCTTCCCCCCTCTTAATTTGCATAAATTCAGTTTTATAGCCTAATATGATTTCTCTGTTAAAGCAGCATGATTTTTTTTTATGTCTTTGAGTTTTTGGAGACTCTTTAAATATCAGTTGGTAAAGAGTGTGGCCAAGGCTGTATCTTACATATGGCTGAGACTGTACCTTAGCTGCTACTGTTTTCTACCTTTTTCCGAGACTGAGATATACAAGATTATCCAGTGTAATCTTGCTTTTTGTTAGTTGAAATGTAGGTCTACACATTTAGTTTTTAAAATGTTTCTCACAGTAGTTTTTAATTCTTTTACTTTTGTTCTGAGAAAATGGCTGTTTTGAATTCTTAATATGTACTTTTAGATGAACTGGTATAATAAACTAGACTATATCTATTTTTAATGTATTTTTCCATTTCCACCCCCTCATTTCAAGGCCTAGTAAATGACAAAGATGCAAAAGATTCTATGACAGAAGGAGAAAATCTTGAAGAGGATGAAGAAGAAGAAGAAGGAGGGGCTGAAACAGAAGAACAATCTGGAAATGAAAGTGAAGTAAATGAGCCAGAAGAAGAGGTGATGACTCTTATTTATAGCAAGATAGAGTACATTTGTATAAGAGTATTTTGATTATATGAGCCCCAATTTTTTTTTTTAATACATAAGACCT